AGAGAGAGAGAGAGAGAGAGAGAGAGAGAGAGAGAGAGAGAGAGAGAGAGAGAGAGAGAGAGAGAGAGAGAGAGAGAGAGAGGGACAGACATACAGAGACAGAGACACAGAGAGAGGGACAGACATACAGAGACACACACACACACACACACAGAGAGAGAGAGAGAGAGAGAGAGAGAGAGAGAGAGAGAGAGAGAGGAAAACTCCTTAGAAATTGAGGAAGAAGGAACAGAAAAGAAAAAAAAGACGAATAAGGAATGAAAGGAAAGGAGGAGAGGGCCAAAGAGGGGAAAAACTGGCATAGGAACCAGAAAGTAGGGAATGTGGTGTAGTCCAGTGGGTGTTTCGATCACTCATGATTGATGGTGCTTGTTGTGTCTGTTCGCATGCCTTGTTGTTGAGGTGCTGTGCAGGTCTTTCCAGTTTGTTCTCTTCTCTTACATCTGTGCAAAGATTGTGGTAAGACTATCCTGTTGTTGCTGCAGATGATGATCGTCATGATATTGTTGGCATCCATCACTATGTTGATGATGATGATGATGATGACGAGGAGGAGGAGGATTATGAGGAGTAGAAGGAGTAGAAGGAGTAGAAGGAGTAGGAGGAGGAGTAGGAGGAGAGAGAGGAGCGGGTGGAAGATGGCTACAACTGAGGATATGCAGATGACGATCGTCATGATATTGTTGACATCGATCATTATGATGATGACGATGACGATGATGATGTTCATGATGATGATGATGATGATGATGATGAGGAGGAGGAGGAGGAGGAGGATTGTGAAGATGGTTATGAGGAGGCGGAGGAGGAGGATTGTGAAGAGGATTATGAGGAGGAGGAGGAGGAGGAGGATTATGAAGAGGATTATGAGGAGGAGTAGGAGGAGGAGGGAGAGGAGCGGGAGGAAGATGGTGACAACTGAGGATATTAAATGACTGTGATAAAGATGATGATTATATTTGCACATGCATGGCAATGTATAAAAAAAGTTAATGATGATGATGATGATGATGATTGTTGTTGAAGAAGAAGAAGAAGAAGAAGAAGAAGAAGAAGAAGAAGAAGAAGAAAAGCATGAACCAATGTCCTCTCCCTCCTCTCACCACCATCATCACCCTCACAAAATCACTTCCACCTTGTTAATAAGAATGGAGTACAATAATGAATGAATGAATGAACAAGAATCAATGTTTGGTTGATCCCCCTTACTGCCAGTATAGAAAGAGCTCTCCTTTAGCTTCCTCTCCCTTTGCACTCCACTTGGCATGGCTTGTAGCTATGGTAGCTCGTCCATGCCTGGGACAGATGTTCAAAGGACAACACAACTACTACCATGCCTCTCCTCCTACCACCGCCATATCTGCCTTGCGAATTAAGTCCATGTCCAAGCCGTACCCCATCTTGGGCCAGATGTTATCAATTTCTCATAAGGATATTGAAGAGTAATAGCTGATCGATTTATATGATTGAGAGTAACTATAAATCCTTGACCTATATATCGAGCAGCTCGAGGTTTTCTTCCTTGCCCTCAGCTCCTCTTTCACCCTCCAACAAATCCAACTCACTCAACCTCTAAGCAGAGCACCAGCATGACTGCGAGGTGAATGAGAGGGCTACAAATTGCACCAAAAGATACACTCTTGGCTGTCTGTCCTCCAACACCTCTTGGTTGGATCCTTCCTGCCTTCACCAGCCTCCTTTCACAAGTGGTTAACGAACTACTGAAATTTTGGAATGAAAGATTCTGAAGTTTGTTAGCAGAGGTATGGAATCGTTGTAATGGCCTGAAGACACTTCATGTCATTTCAGGAGTTTCCGGTGGTTTGAAGGTCAGATTTTATGTTGTTTTTTTTTTTTTTTTTTGCCTGTTTTTGTTTTGGTTCAACATTGTTGTGTGCCACTTCAGGTCATTTCAGGAGTTTCGGGNGTTGTGTGCCACTTCAGGTCATTTCAGGAGTTTCGGGTGGGGAAACCTGAAACCTCTGAAATGACCTGAAGTGGTTGAAGTTTCTGAATGCGGTTTCAGATCCCCCCATCCAAATTTTTGGATTGGGGCATCTAAAACCGCTTTCAGATTTTCAGCCACTTCAAGCCATTTCAAGAGTTTCCGGTGGGGAGACCTGAAACCTCTGAAATGACCTGAAGTGGATGAAGCTTTTGAAAACGGTTTCAGGTTCCCCCATCCAAATGCTTGGGTAGGGGGACCTGAAACCGCTTTTAGAATCTTCAGCCACTTCATGATATTTCAGGAGTTTCAAGTGGGGAGACCTGAAACCTAAAATCCAAGTACCCAACACCCGTATGAAGCAGTTGAAAATGACCTGAAAATATAGGCATTTGTTAACCTTATCTCCCTCCTTTGGGTGCACTAGGCCTACTGGATGTTCCCTGCTTGTGGTGGGAACATCATTTCAGATTGATATCTACCTGCAGGGCCTGAATCTACCTTTGCAAGCTACCTACATTCGGGCCTGGCGATCATCACTAGCGCACAGCTTTGTAACCTTTTAGGCCTACCCGACTTACTGGGATTTCCCAACCGGGTCCCTAACAAATTTTACTTATGTCCCTTGCCGTCTTAGTAAACTCACTATTTCCCTACTCCAAACTTTCCACACTATCCCTGGTCCTACCCCTATTTCTATACCTTTTTTTTTTTTTTTTTAACCCCTATTTCTATCCTATCCCTGTTCAACACACAACACGGCCCAACAGAGGTAGCACACCAACTTGGAATTGGACCCATAACTTCAACAGGCAAGCACACACCAATGACACCATACATATATCATCAGCAGGCCACACAGTTTATGCAATGAATTGCAGTATTGAGCGGGTTGTACACTAAAGTAGGACCATTTTGTAATTTTCCTCGATTTGAGGGGTCCTAACCGTAGGTGCCACAGTCCTTGTCCCTCATAGGGACTTTTCCGTAATTCTGGTTATTTTAGGCCTAGGCTGTTAGGTACCGGTAGCCACAGTCCTTGTCCTTCATAGGGACTTTTCCATAATTCTGGTTATTTTAGGCCTGGGCTGTTAGGTACCGGTAGCCACAGTCCTTGTCCCTCATAGGGACTTTTCCGTAATTCTGGTTATTTTAGGCCTACCGGTAGGCTATTAGGTACCGGTAGCCCCAGGCTGTTTTGGTCCTTGTTTTCCTTTCTCCCTGTTTCGAGTCTAGATACAGTCAGGCCGTAGGGAGCAGTCCGCCGGTCCTTCTTAGGTGTTAGTCCGTCAGAGGGTTAGCGGGGAGGAGAACAAAATGCCGCAGGGTCGAATCAGTTCAGGTTCTTTTCCTTCATTTTTCTTTTCATGTTATTTGTTTTTTTTTATTTTAGAAAAAATGTAAAGAAGTATATATATCAATAAGTACTATATATATTGTCACATCACTACAAACTAAAAGAGCGCACTTTGCGGAACAAAGAATAAAAGCAAAAAACGGGCACAGTGATATGACGATATATATTCTGTTTGTGACGATATATGCAATTTAATATTTATGATAAACAATATATCGATATCAGTATATCTATGACATTATGTAAAAAATAAAAGAATATACACATATGATATTGATAATGTCATGTCTTGTTGGTGGGAGGTCGCGTGGAACCTGCTGCACTAATTCAGCGCTAAGGCAGGGCTTCGTCTTCATGATGGTGGACAGCCATAGCTGGGACGATCAGCTCCCTCGAGGGCAGCGCTGGGTGACAGACCCAAGGTGCTGCTGAGCGCTTACCTCCTTGCTGTTCTGTTGGGGTTTGACAGCTGCGGCTGAGCTGCCCACGAAGCAGCTGGTTCTTTGAGTCTTCTTCAGTGTGGCAGATCTTCATGTTCATCGAGTTGGTGTTTTTCTTCTTCATCCTGGGATCTGCACTCCGCTGCTGAGCTGACACTTCATCTGCTGTGGGCTTCGCGGTTGGTGCAGAGTGGCGTGTTGGGTTCAGGAGGGTGTGTGGCGATTGGTCGGCTTGTTAAATTGGGTGTCTAGTTGCGCCATAGCTAGAGCTTGATGTTGAGGGAGGAAGGAGTCTCTCGTACTCGATGAAACTCCGTTTTAATT